TTTTCGAGTCGAGCTTCATCGAAACCTCCTTCGGAAGATAAGTTCCCATTGTTAGGTTCTCCATTTCTAGCACCTCGATCACGCTGGTAGCGAGCCCATTGCTGTGAGTTCATGGTACTAGGTCTTTCTGTACCCAGTAAATCCGTGTCAATCTTCTCCAGTTCTCTTGAGAGCCATGAAGTAAATGTTGCGAACATGGTGCAGGTTGACATAAGTTTAGAGTGGATCTATGAAGCATTAGTAGAGCTCTAAGTAGCAATTATTATAGATGGACATACCCTCAAAAGTCTGCTGTTCGTAAGCATGCACTCCTTCATACAAGTATCAAGAAAATCGACATGATCTTGCATGAGTTCATCGACAGTTCTAACGGCTGGTGTTTTCCCTACTTTATCATCTTCTTTCGCATTGAGCCTAGCCATCAACCCCTGCCAGTTTGGTTCGATAACTTCAGATGTACAAAAGTAGAGAAGTTGTTGCACAAATACCAGCATTCGTGCTCGCAATGTAAACACTCTTCGCTTCCACAATTCAAGGTTTCGATTTGAGCTTTTGTGAGACCAAGTAGCGGCTCGGTTGTGGGTCTGCCAGCAGGTGACAAGTTGTTGCTCGAGATAACGCAAAGACAACAAATATCGAAAGAGTGCTTGATATCTCCAGACTGTCTTCCTACTGATGACAAGAGATACTGGAAATGGGACAGAATAATCGAGTTGAAGAGAAGTAAACCCTACAGCAGCCTTATCGTTCTCCGTGACTGGTTGAGCAGGAGTTTGTAGTGATTCTCCCTGTTCGATACCCGATATATTGACTACTCTGGTCAACATATTTGTTAAGCTTATATCATTCATCTCAACTTTGATGTCTTCCTTGAAGGGATCCTGGGCAGCGACACTTCCAGGTTGTCGAAGAACAAGATCCAGTAATGACTGAAGCTTACTGGTATTAACAGCCTTAAGAGGTTTTCGTAACTCAGAATTACCGAGCTCAAGGAAATAAGAGAAGAAGTCCGAGCGATCCAAAAAGAAATAGTGCTTCAAAGACCTTAAGCGTGCAGGTAAGGAATGAGCAGTCAGTAGCAAATTAAGTAAAGACTCGTTAGCATGCGCGTAGGCACTATTGACATTTTCCAGAAACCGATTGTCATCAAAAGATCGAGGGACGTCTTTCACCTCTTTGCTCACATCGACACCCCCACATTCACGGACGACATTCAAATATTTACCGGCCAAGAGAACTTTATCTTTCACACCTTCCAATTGAGGGGGTACGTCAGTATCCCTAATCGTGTATCGTCTCTCCCAGTACTCGTCGGTGTAATCTTCCTCCAACCTCTCCCTCTTTATACTTTTCTGTTCTCTCACTAGGAACTCTGCATGAGGGTCTTTGATGCTTCCGTGATGCAACCACTCATTGAGCATCACCATATAAGGTCGACTAGCATCTCTCAACAGTGAAGTCAGGAGAGATCGAGCGGCCGGATCGCCAGACATTGTCTCCAGTCGCTTTGTGATGAGGCCCAATACGCTTCCACCTTTGCAAATCTTTTTACCTGGAATATTCCCAAGCCCAAGGTCTCCACCCTCACGGAGACTTTCTAAGATGTTTTCAAAATCATCCATTCCATCCCCATCCTCCTCATCTTCCTCAAGCATGGAATTTCTCTTCAATATTTCATGGGCAAGCGAAGATAACTGAAGCATCATGTGGCTCGTAGGAAGAGTATGGAGGTTTAGAACGTGTAAAGTAAATGATGGATTGGTAAGAAATTGCGTCTCGAGCTGAGCGATCAAAATGAGGTAATCTTGTAGAAGTTTCCTCATGGCAGCACATAATGCATGATTGACAGCTCCAAACTCTTCCCGGCTTTGTACTTCAACAAAAGCTTCAGTTGCTCCGTAATTCGTAGCCATCTTGAGCATAGTCGTGGTTAGGTCCTGTAAACTAGGGTCCAAGCCTGGTAAAATCCTAAAGCTGGGACCCGCAAGACGATCCTTCTCAATGAGGGGATCATAGCCCTTCCCAAATCTAATATATTGCCCTTCATAGCCCATGAAAACAAATAGAAGATCCTCCAATATAGCTGCCTCTTGTACTTCCAGGGACAATTCGTGGAGGGGTTGAGGCTGTAAGGCTTGGGGAGCTTGGGAAGCAAGTGGTGGAATGGAGATTCTGGACGCCAATGGCGCGGTTGTATGCGGCACTAAGGACACTTGGGGATCCCATGGTAATACTAAAAACGTAATGTTTAGAATAACTGTAGATTTTTTCCCTCAGAAGGTATCTTACCAGGTTGAGTTTCGGCTTTTGATGCTTTTAGCGGAATCTCTTCCCCGCGCGATCTAGATGTATCATTGGTTCTAGGACGTTCCGTAGGCGCGCGACGATCAGGACTTCTTGTTCTAGACGTTACTGTCTCTCTACTTGAGATATGTACCCGTTCAGTCCTCCTCTCCTCTACCCCTCTATTACTCCGTTGTGAGCTCGATTGAGCTCTTCGATGATTCGATTCCGTAGCTCCTGGTGGTGGTGAAGGACGTCGACGTGCATCTGGCCTCTCATTCCTTGTGCCAGCCAGTGCGGACGGCGGGCGAGATCTAGGATTATCATTCGACCTTCGCTCAGATTGTGAAGAAACTCTAGCTTGCGAAGACATAATTATCACATCTGGGGTTGTAAATTATGAGCACGAAGAAGTCGAGAAGATCTTAGATTGAGAATGGTAACTAATTGTATGCGACAGTAAACCGTATATCTCCATTGCCGTGACTATCAATTTATTTTCTATAAATCCTATCTTCCCCTCTCTTCACGCGTTTGGATACAATAAACTTCCTTGAGAGACGTGTAGATTACGCTAAGCCTATTTTACCCTAGTAATTTTGCTACCAAAACCTCAGGAACGGGCCATTTGATAGCTTCGCATGCCTGTGCTTGCCTAAAGTAGCTCCTAAATCTGATAGCTACCAACCTCTGCAACAAGCTGTTCGTTCATAACGTCAACGTCCTGAAATTATCTCTCCGCGAATACCCTCAAGTTACTTATTTTCATTCAATCAGCGCAGCATTCTATCGAAACCTCATCTCTTCGCCAACAAGCACATACCTTCTCTTACTTTTGCCAGCGGCTGTTTCTCAAGATGTTTATTGCAAGATCTGAATATGGTGAGTTATTTGAAGGCTTTCTGCGGCGCCTATGCCTTCGTTGTATCAACTAACAAATTCGCAGATCGGGGTATCAAGTATGTCAAAGTCTCAGCTACAACAAGCATCCCGCATTTCAGTTCAATATTAATATAATCCCAGCACCTTTTCCCCAGAGGGTCGTTTGTTCCAAGTAGAATACTCTCTAGAGGCCATCAAGTTAGGATCAACAGCAATAGGAGTTGCAACCGGTGGTGGAGTGGTTCTTGGTGTCGAAAAGCGCGTAACCTCTACTTTACTCGAAACATCTTCCGTTGAGAAGATTGTCGAAATCGATCGTCACATTGGATGTGCCATGTCAGGACTTCAAGCAGATGCACGATCAATGGTAGAACACGCCCGAGTTGAATCTCAAAACCACAGCTTCCACTATAACGAGCCTCTAAGAGTCGAGAGCTGTACTCAAGCCATCTGTGATTTGGCATTGAGATTTGGTGAGGGTGCGGATGGAGAAGAGAGTATCATGAGTAGACCGTTTGGTGTTGCTCTTTTGATTGCTGGATACGATGAGGATGGACCACAATTATACCACGCTGAGCCAAGTGGAACCTTTTATAGATATGATGCAAAGGCTATTGGTTCAGGTTCAGAGGGAGCTCAAGCCGAATTACAAAACGAGTTTCACAAGGTACAATAAAATACATGATCACCTATAGATGATTTTTCGCTAACCTAAACTTTAGTCACTCACAATTGAAGAGGCAGAAACTTTGGTGTTGAAGACGTTGAAGCAGGTCATGGAGGAGAAATTAGATTCAAAGAATGTGCAATTGGCTAGTGTTACTAAGGAAAAGGGTTTCCGAATTTACACTGATGAGGAGATGGCAGCTGTTGTTGAACGCTTACCTGCGAATTAAGATTTCGAATAACGAGAAAAGTCTGGATTCAATCTAGCATGGACTAGTCAATTTTAGACATCTTAATTGACATGAATGAATGACATTAATGCATATGGAAGTCTTACTTGTGGAAGATTGCTGGACTTTATATTCCGCTTGTAGTGCCGGTGTACCAAAAGTTACGAACAATCAAAGCTGCAATATACCTAGAATTTCCTGGGAATTCCCCCTACTAGTGTACGGGAAACAAATGGACGAAACAATGTCAAATCCTAACTTCGGAACTCTTCAATTACATATTTAAGTTATCTGTTATTACGGTCAGATTCTAATGATATTCTTCAACATTACTGTCCAAATCTGTGGACCAAAGGGTCTCCAGGTTCAGATGCTTAAGATTTCGAAGGGGATTATATGTTTGAAAGTATTGTTTTTGCGTCTATAAAGCTTGGGAAGTTTTGAGCTCAGCGAATCGAATTCTACAGTACAGCGATTTGGGTGGTCCCTCACAAGGACGATAAAAGAATCTCCTGAAATTACCTTCCAGAACACACGAATCTCCTTCACTCGTAGAACAGTTGTAGAGTACCTTGGTGCATCATTTATCGCTTGCGTTTGAAGATCGGCTATATTCAGAGCATCGCTTCTCGAGCATGCAAAACCTTATATACAGAATGATCAAAAAGAATAAGATATTTTCATTTTTCAACTGTGACCTACTCAACACCATCTCTAAACACACTTCAAAGTTCAGACCTTATTCCCATGATCCTCCCGAATCAAATCTGCCGCCTTCTCCGCAACCGCATACATAGTAGTCTGACGATTACCTCTTGTAGATATAGGGAAAATGCTTGCATCCACAATCCTCAAATTATTTGTTCTATACATTATTAATTTTTCGCTCACAATTCCTCCTTTATTCAAGGGTAACATCGTATATGTGCTTGTTGGGTGCTATGTACTCGGTGCTGCTTTCTTCAGATATTCCTTGACAGCATCGAGATCCGTGATTTCTCTCTCCGGGAGGTTTGAAAATTGCGGAAAGACGAGGGAAGGAAATAATTTGGAAATACAGCGGACGTGGCGAGAGAGAATTTCGAGATCGAGGGGATGAGAAAGATGTTTGGGATCGATTTCTGCAGGAATCTCGGGACTGGAGTTGGTAATGTGTGTATTTCCACGGGAGAGCGGATGCAGTAACATACAAGCGATGGTGAGATATTTTCCAGGCGAATCGGCACCATCCTTAGTATCGGAACTTGCGCTTGAATTTTGCTTGTCGGTGATATCGCCAGAACCGGCCTCCGGGATGAAATTCTCAAGCGCGGCGTAGGGGAAATATCCTCCGGAGCCTTCGGTTGGGGTTCGGGGAAGAAAATGTACGAATTTTGCATGGGATTTTGAGAAAGGTGTCTTATTCTCATCTCCCGTTCCATATCTCTTGAATAGCACTTCTAAATCATCTCCGCTCTTCTCTGTCATATACGCCCCCATTGCCTCCCCAATCGCAGTACTATCCTGTCGTGCCAACGCATCCATTGTTTTTACACCCTCTTCTACGTCAAAAGAAGATCTAAAATTGAGATGATCCTAGAGATTCTCGCCCACATTCCCATTATCGACGAGTACTGGAATATCCAGACCCGAAAGTAGAGCCGCAGAACCAATCCCTGACAGGTCAAGCAATTTGGGAGTTTGCAACGCACCCGGTGCGAGAAACTTTTTTTCTCGCACTCACGCTATAGCTTAACGAGTCTTTGGTGTACGAGATACCCGTAGCGAGCACATCACCCTTCTCATCTCTCGAATCCGAAAACAGGATTTCAGTCGCCAGTGTAGATGTCACCAAAACAAAATTCTCAAGCGTCGCAATAGATGCATAGTAGGTGGATAAGGCATGAGTTCGCGTTTTTGTCGCCGCGTCAATATTCATCGCGTTGATGTGTCTGCCTACCGCTTTTCCGGAAAAGGGATCGCTGGAAAGGCCGACCCCAACCAATGTGTTTCCACGTGTCTACCCAGGCCTTTGGGAGCCCGTTTTTTTTTCTTCCGCGAAGGAGGCTTGCAGGGGTCTGGAAAATGGTTTCTGGATTCTGGAGATCGGGGTCGACATAGGAGAGGGAGAGGTTTTCTATGGTCTCTAGGGATGGAAGTGTAAGGGTAAAAGATTTTTGATAGTAGAGGAGTAGGGAGTGCCATGACCAAGAGGGATTTCCGAGAGATCCTCAGGTGTTGGTGCTGAAACGGGAGTTGGCGATGAATGCGCCGCCGTTGAACCTCCTAGAAGCCGGCCTTGGGATAGAGGGACTAACTTGCCGTTGAGATGTTTCTGAGGCTTGTTAGATCGTCCTCTCTTCTTCTGCTTTTAGGCATTTTTATCCTGAATCCAGTGATCTCGGGCATCGATCGGGTATATCGCATTCTGAGGAAGAGGGGGGGGAGGGGGGGGCGGGGGGCGAAAACCCCAAAAAACGGGAAGATAGGATAGAAGATACATAAGGGGAAATACAAGAACATACCTGTGGAGCACTCAAAACAGTCCAATCAGTCTCTGTGTCTAGATTCGCAAGCCAGAGACCGGGTGTGATGATTGTGGGGGAGGAGGAATAATCATCTCCTGCTTCGAGAACGAGGACACGGATGGATGGGTCTTGGGTAAGACGGGTTGCTACGACTTATGGGGGAGGAAGAGAAGAGAGTTGGTCGATGTTTCTTTGGGGAGTGTACGAAGTCTGAAGAGAATGAAATGAATGGGGGTGAAGGAGAGGGGAAGATGGAAGGGGGTAAAAATGGTGGGTTGATCTTGATTGATTATAGAGAACGGAATACAAGTACATCTACATGTACAAATTCATCTACATACCTAGGTATACATACCAAGTCCCGAAGTTCCACCCCCAACAATCACACAATCATACGTATATCCATCTCCAGATCATTCTGCAGAGAAGCTAAATAGGAAGCGGGAATACCGTTTAGGATGGAGGTTACTGATATGGCGAGTGAGTATGATGAAATATTTCTTCTTCTTCTTCTTTTCGAAATTCAAAATTCAAATGTTGTATATCTTTGTTTTGGAATTGAGAGATAGATGTTTGATGTAATGTAATGTAATTAGGAAAGGAAAGGAAAGCGAAGTGAAGTTGGTATATATATCTATATATATATATAGGTATTGTTTCTCTCTTGATTTTTCTATAAATTTTAAAAGATGCTTTTTACTTTATATCTCAAAATATTTATATTTATTTATCTATTTATTATTTATTATTTATTATGTATTATCTAGGTACTATTTATTATTTACTATTTATTATTTACTATCTACTATCTACTATCTCCTCCCTATTACCTCTCTATTACCTACCCACCTATCCACCTACCCATCTCAACAAAATCCAAAATCTAAAATCCAAAGTAAGCACTCGTATATCCCTATTCTACAATAGAAACCCTCACACTCCCTCACACTCCTCCCAAATCCCACATCCCACATCTCACATCCACCAAATTGGCAGAAGTCACAATATCGCTATATCCCACTCCGTCCCTCCCAACCCCAGAAAAATATCTCGCCTCCTTATATATATATATACCACATGCATATTTATAGAGATTTATTTGTTCAATAGATAGATAAACTCGATAGATACCCAGATCCATACATATGATTTCTCGCCTGATTAACTAATCTATGGAGAATCCGATCGATGGTGTTGTGATTGAAATTCAATTTCAATTTCAAGGGTGTGGGGTAGGTAGGTAGGTCTAGTACACATCTGTCTCGTACGATAAAGGAGAAGAGAGACCGGCAGTCATTCTACCCACCTGTAATCTATAAATACAACATCCACAGAATTCCCAGCCTATTTCTCAGAAAAAAAGACCCCCCTCCTCAGCCGAAATATTCACATCCACCGCCCCCCAATCCATCACCGACCAATCCAACGTACTGATATCCGCATCAATCAGCCCCATTCCGGGGGTATCTATACATGTACCCAGTCCAGATGATGCCGTTCCCGATGCAGAAGATCCCAAATCCTCACCGAGCCCATAGAACGCCAGAGACGGCACCCTCGAAAAATCAACCCCATCCCCATCCCCATCCCCATCCCCATCTACCTCTCCACCATTCTTCTCCGTCCTCACCTCCCCCATCCCCGCCAATTCCGCCATCCTCTGCCGCACACTCCCCACAATCCCCGGTTCCGCAATCTCCTCCCCCATACTCCTAAAAGCCAGCTCCCGCACCTCCCAAGCCTGCAGAATGATTTTCGCAAAAATGACGAAAAAAGGCCCGGGTATCTCATCATACAGGGTAGAGTTAAATCTCGCTTCATAATTCGCCGTCATGGCCTCCCAAGCGCGCTCTGCTTGTTGACTCAGCGGTCTGCGTTTGAAATTCTGCACGATTTGGAAGTATGCCGGGAAGGGAAAATGCATGTTGGACATCCACATGAAGCCTTTCGCCAGGGGGGATGTCATGAGTTTCGTATCGCATTCGAGCATCTTGAGGGCATGGGCAATAGTAGCATCGCGTACCAAACCCACTTTTGAAGAGTGGGTTTTGCCAGAAAAGTGCCAATGTTCTACCAAGTGCCATTTGGCAAGACTCATTCGCGTAGTCCAGATAGTGGTGAAATGGAGTGGATTTTTCGGATCACAGAATCTGAGATATTTTTCCTCAACCATCTTTTCTAGATCAGTGAGCTCGCTGCCTTCTGTAGTCGGATCGTGCTGAGGATGTTTGGCTGCGGGTTTTAGAGCAGGATTATTGAAATCAAGATGAAATGTGGTATTTCGAATAAAGTTTCCCATTTCGCCGCGCAAAACGACAAAAATCGCCTCGGTTGGTTTCGGCTGACATTGCGGAGGATCTTTCATCTTGATATGAAAATCAGAATCGCTCGCATTAAGGGGGACTTTGCAACTCCAAGTAGGAGTCAAGACGACGTGCTTGGAATCAGCGATTTCGCCGATCCGAGTATCGTAAAGTACAAGTGACCACCAAAGTCTTCGGCGCATCTCAGCCTCTAGAGGATTGAGTTTAGATAAAGCGAATTCGTTATGGCAATCCATACGTTGCGCGATTCGAACAGCAATTGCCAGTAAGGAAGACAGAGATTGAGGGACTGATTTGGTTCTGAAAGACATCTGAAGCGGTTAGAAAATAGATACGTTATGGCCCACTACACTTACCACGTAGAAAAATAAAGCAGTCAAGGTGTCTCGATCATCTCTGTTCCGTAGGAAACCACTATTTAAAAGACCCTGCTGACACCCAAACTGATATCTCGTCAAGAGGTCTGGTTTTGATGCGTAAAACATAAGCTGGCAATCTTCGTAGGAGAGACTCGAAATTGCCACGCAATAAATGCCAAACATTAACGCTTCCAGCTGAGGTTTAATATTCCGGAGATCACCAGCAGCTTCTATGATCTGTGCCTGGAGACTGGGAGTATGCGTAACCTTGAGTAATGGATTAATTTTTTCTAGGTAAATTTGCCAAAGTCTGAAAATTTGAACTGGTTCAGGATGAAACGTAGAAATGTCGACGTTTGATACACGCGATCCAAACAAAAAATTATCGTTGTCAGATATTTGATCCCATACTTTTTTCACATCGGCTTCACGCACATCGTCATCATCAGAATCACTGATATTGTCAGGTTCTCGAAACTAAGCTACAGTCAGTGAATGGAGAGGAAATCATAAGAATTGACTTGACTTCATACTTCTTGACTCATAGCGTGCCACAGATTCCTAATACTGTTAGTGGGGGCCAAATAGCTTCTTGAAAATTACATACATAGCCTCATGTACTTTTCCAGAATTGGTAGTTGATGGAGATGGTATGTTTGTAGTCGCTTTTGGTTGTTCATCGCCGGAATCATTGTGACTTTCAGCATGAGGAGATTCTTTGTGAAGTGGCTCAAACTTAATATTATGTTGGCGTAGAAGATCTTCGTACTTACGAAGACGATCTAGTAGTTCTCGTTCTGGAAATCTGCGTCGTCGCTGACGAGGAAGTTGTGTTGCTGGTATACATTGTACTCGTGACTTTACGCAGGTAGAACAAGGGTATCTGCGATCACACTTTATTTTTCTCTGTTGACAACGTAGACAAGCGAGTACACGTTGTGGTTTCGAAGATGAGGTGATGGTCGATGTCGCAGGGGACATGTCTGAGGTTCCCTCATCTGGTTGAATAGGTGGCACTTTTGACATGGCTTACAGACAGTTCGTAAAGTATCACACAATTATGATATTATTTAGAGAGAAGTCTATATTCAATTTTGAAAATTCGGTGCTGATGGATGAGGCATAGGCAGCAGCCAAAAAGGAAAGAGCCTCAATCAGACAGTAGCGGTGATGATATTACAAGCGCCCATATCTATGTCTTGACATGCAGAATGATTACTTAAGAAGCTAAAGAATGCTGGTATATTTTGCATCATCTGGCGTGTGAAATCGAAGCTCGAGGTTGTACGTACAATGAGGGTGTGAAGAATAGGCTGCTGACTCATCATGTAATC